GTCTTACATCGAGGGGGGAAATTGCCACTCTGCTTCTAACCACATAGGTTGGGAAGGGTGCTGCAAGGCCATAGCGTGTCCAGAGAAGAGCAGTCAAGCTGGTGAAGGGTCTGGAGAACAAGTCTTACGAGGAGTGGCTGAGGGAGCTGGGGCTGTTCAGTCTGGAGAAGAGGAGGCTGAGGGGAGACCTTCTCGCTCTCTACAACTACCTGAAAGGAGATTGTAGTGAGGTGGGGGTTATTCCAAGTAACCAGCGATCGGGTGAGCGGAAACGGCCTCAAGTTGTGTCAGGGGAGGTTTAGATTGGACATTAGGAAAAATTTCTTTACTGAAGGAGTGGTCAGGCATTGAACCAGGCTGCCCAGGGAGGTGGTGGAGTCCCCATCCCCGGAGGGGCTCAAAAAACAAGTAGATGTGGCACCTGGGGACATGGTTTAGCAGGCATGGTGGTGATGGGTGGATGGTTGGACTTGATGATCTTGGAGGTCTCTTCCAACCTTGATGATTCTAAGGCTGGGCAGAGGGCCTGTCTCACAGTCATGAAATCCATGCCCGTTTTGCTGTGTCGGCCTGGGGCAGGCAGAAGACTCCGGGAATCAACTGCGTGCGGGTGGCTGGTGCAGAGGCCGTGCCCAGTGCTCCCGCCCCGGCTGGGCTGCAGGAGCAGCGTGACCGGGGGGACAGTGTGGGACAGGGGGTGGCTGCTGCCCTTGAGGTGATTTTTTAAGGTTTAGGAGGACTGGACTTAGCAGAGGAAGGGGAGGATTGGAAACATCAGCTGCTCTTCTCAGGGCTGGGCTCCAGGGCAGCTCTGGGCACAGCTGAAGGGCTGGAGGAGGGTCTCAGGGTGCTTGGAGGAGCCTGGCAGAAGCTCTTGTGAAACCACAGGCCTGGCTTTCTCCATCCCCACGGTAATTTGGAGCAATCAGTCTGCTGATTAATCCTGCTGAGGAGGATCTCCTGAGGTTCCCAGGTACCAGCCATGCTGCCTGGGGCTCAGCCGTGCGTGGGTGCAGGAAGGAGCCCGGACACGGTCCCCTTCTGCTCCTCCAAGAGAAACAACGAAGGTCCTTAGTCACGTTTGACCACGTCGCTAACGAACCCCGTGATTCGTTTTCATCCACCTCGCTCCCTGAGCGGCGGCGACTTCTCCGCCGGGAGCAGCTCCGCTGCGGAGCGTGGGGGGATGCCCCGAACGCCATCGCTCCATGCGCTGCCCCCCGCATTTCTCTTCTGGGCAAGATTTTTCCCATTTCTTGAGCCCCTGACTCTTCCAGAAACCGTTCCCCGGGGCACGTTGTCCCCCAGGATCGAGGCTGAACTCATTGGGTGCAGCAGAGGGTGCTGGGGGGTGTACAGGGGTGTTGAGGGGGTGCACGGAGCCAGAGGTGATGCTGGGTTACCCAGTGAAAGGGATGGGGTGCAGCAGAGGGTGCTGGGGGGTGTACAGGGGTGTTGAGGGGGTGCACAGAGCCATATATGGTGTTGGGGTGCCCAGTGAAAGGGATGGGGTGCAGCAGAGGGTGCTGGGGGGTGTACAGGGGTGTTGAGGGGGTGCACGGAGCCAGAGGTGATGCTGGGTTACCCAGTGAAAGGGATGGGGTGCAGCAGAGGGTGCTGGGGGGTGTACAGGGGTGTTGAGGGGGTGCACAGAGCCATATATGGTGTTGGGGTGCCCAGTGAAAGGGATGGGGTGCAGCAGAGGGTGCTGGGGGGTGTACAGGGGTGTTGAGGGGGTGCACGGAGCCAGAGGTGATGCTGGGTTACCCAGTGAAAGGGATGGGGTGCAGCAGAGGGTGCTGGGGGGTGTACAGGGGTGTTGAGGGGGTGCACAGAGCCATATATGGTGTTGGGGTGCCCAGTGAAAGGGATGGGGTGCAGCAGAGGGTGCTGGGGGGTGTACAGGGGTGTTGAGGGGGTGCACGGAGCCAGAGGTGATGCTGGGTTACCCAGTGAAAGGGATGGGGTGCAGCAGAGGGTGCTGGGGGGTGTACAGGGGTGTTGAGGGGGTGCACAGAGCCATATATGGTGTTGGGGTGCCCAGTGAAAGGGATGGGGTGCAGCAGAGGGTGCTGGGGGGTGTACAGGGGTGTTGAGGGGGTGCACGGAGCCAGAGGTGATGCTGGGTTACCCAGTGAAAGGGATGGGGTGCAGCAGAGGGTGCTGGGGGGTGTACAGGGGTGTTGAGGGGGTGCACAGAGCCATATATGGTGTTGGGGTGCCCAGTGAAAGGGATGGGGTGCAGCAGAGGGTGCTGGGGGGTGTACAGGGGTGTTGAGGGGGTGCACGGAGCCAGAGGTGATGCTGGGTTACCCAGTGAAAGGGATGGGGTGCAGCAGAGGGTGCTGGGGGGTGTACAGGGGTGTTGAGGGGGTGCACAGAGCCATATATGGTGTTGGGGTGCCCAGTGAAAGGGATGGGGTGCAGCAGAGGGTGCTGGGGGGTGTACAGGGGTGTTGAGGGGGTGCACGGAGCCAGAGGTGATGCTGGGTTACCCAGTGAAAGGGATGGGGTGCAGCAGAGGGTGCTGGGGGGTGTACAGGGGTGTTGAGGGGATGTACAGAGCCATGTGGGGTGCTGGGGTACCCGGAGAAAGGGATGGGGTGCAGTAGGGTGCACCAGGCAGCACGGGGTGTTAGGGTGCCTGGGGAAAGGGATGGGGTGCAGCAGGATGCACCAGGCAGCATGGGGTGCTGGAGGGTGCGTAGAGGAGTTGAGGGGGTGCACAGAGCCATAGACAATGCTGGGGCGTCCAGAGAAGGGGATGGGGTGCAGCAGGGTACACAGGCAAAGGGATGGGGTGCAGTAGGGTGCACAGAGCAGTGTGGGATGCTTGGGGGTGTACTGGGGAGTTCAGGGGGTGCACAGAGACGTGCATGGTGCTGGGGTGCCTGGGGAAAGGGATGGGGTGCAGCAGGGTGCATAGGGCAGCACGGGGTGCCCAGGGAAAGGGATGGGGTGCAGTAGGGTGCACAGAGCAGTATGGGATGCTGGGGGGTGTACAGGGGAGTTGAGGGGGTGCACAGAGACATGCATGGTGCTGGGGTGCCCAGGGCAAGGGATGGGGTGCAGCAGGCTGGTGGCCAGCTCTCCACGTGTCCCTGTCCCTCCGCAGGCCTCCATCCGCTGCCACCCTGGCGCTGCGCTGCATGGACGGCGTTTTCCTCTCGCCCGACGAGGATGAGTTCGTGGGCAGGATCGCGGAGGAGCTGGAGCAGTTCATGCTGCAGGGGCAGCACCGCAGGTGGGTCCCCGTACAGCAGAGGCAGAGGACTCTCCACGTGTCCCTGTCCCTCCGCAGGCCTCCATCCGCTGCCACCCTGGCGCTGCGCTGCATGGACGGCGTTTTCCTCTCGCCCGACGAGGATGAGTTCGTGGGCAGGATCGCGGAGGAGCTGGAGCAGTTCATGCTGCAGGGACAGCACCGCAGGTGGGTCCCCGGGGCGCGGGGTCCCTGCCTGGGTGACGCGCTCCCCGGCGGCGCGCGCAGCGGCACGCTGTGGCTCGTGTCTCTGCTTCGCAGCGGTTCTGCGGGCTGAAAGCGGCGGCGTTTGGAGCCTGGCTGCAGAGCTCCAGCCCCGCTCGGAGCACCCCGGGGGGGTTCTGCCGCGCGCCCTGCTCCATTCACGCTCCTCAACGCAGAGTTGCTTTGGATGCCGGTGGCTTTTGCTCCAGCCCCAGCCTGGCCTAGCTCGCTCGTCAGCCTCTGAGTTACTGTGAATAATTTCGTAATCAAACTGTTTTGTTTCTCCTCTCTGCTGAGGGCTTCCTGTGCACCAGATCCGCTTCCACAGCAGCAAACTCCGTTGCCTTGGATTGCTGCGTTGTTTTTCTTTGGCTGGGCTGGGTTTACCTGGGCCTAGTCCCTCATCCAGTGGCCTTTGAAGCCCTTGAGATGGCCGAAAAGAAGGTGTTAGACAGGAGCAGGAGTGGGGTTGCTTAGTTCAGCTTCCTGCCAGCTTGTGATGACCTTAAATACTTGTTTCGTTGCTTTTTTTAAAAAAAAGTTTGGCAGAGAAAGTATCTATGCAATTGTGAAAAGCTCAGGAACAAAGCCAGAATTACAAAAACATGTTTAAATGCAGTGAAACTGAATGTGGCGTTTATACATCCATTCACATTCTTTTAATTGCTGGTTTCTGGAGCGCACTCAGACTGGGAGGAAGGGGACCAGTAACACCCTTCTGCTGGCGCTTTCCGGCCGATCCCAGCAGGGATCTGGGCAGGAGCAAGAGTCCCAGCCAAAGGTCCAGGGACCAGGCAGTGCCAGCCACCCTGCGCTCCCCGTGCTACGTGCAGAGCGAGCGCGTCTGTCCAGACCTCCAGGGTGGAGAAGGGGTTTGGGCTCTGCAGTGCTAGAAAGTCCTGCTTGGCTTTGGGGCTTGCATTTAAACCCTGCTCTGGGGAAGAGGTTAATAACTTCTTGCTACGCTCCTGTCCTTTCCCTTCCTGCAAGCTGCTGATGCCCCCGACCCCTCTCTCATTTCAGAGTGCTGCTGTTCCCCCCCCTGTCCAGTCGCCTCAGGTACCTGATCCATCGGACCGTGGACAACGTGGATTTGCTGAGCAGCTTCTCCGTGGGAGAAGGATGGAGGAGGAGGACGGTCATCTGTCACTCGGCCGTGAGGTACGGTGCGGTAGATGGAACGGGGGTTCTCTTTCCATGGCCGTCGGGTTTTTGTTCAGGCTTAGGAGAGTGAAGTTTGCGTGGTGCTTCTCCGCAAGGAGGAGCGTGTCTGTTATTGACAGCATCTTCCAGTCGTGTTTCCTGTCTGCTGGTTTCTGTGTGGATTTGATGCTTTTCCTCCTCTCGCTCTCTTTTGCAAATGTCACGTTCCTGGGGTTCCTCTGCTCACGCCTCGCCGTTCTCTCGATCCCAGGCTGCCCGGCAGCGAGACGAGCGACCAAAAACCCAGCAGCAACCCAACGAGACCGCAGCGAGCCCCGCAGGCGTGGGGTCCGGGGCGGCAGGCCGGGGCAGGGCGGGGAGGCACACGGTGACAGCTCCCGAGCCTGCGTGGGCTCCGGCAGGATCAAGAGGCCGCCCTGGAAGAAACCAGATAAAGCCCTGTACGTCCCCAAGGCGATGCGCAAGAGGGCAGAATGGGGGGAGCGGGAGAGCCCGGTGGCGGCTGGCACCGAGTCAGGTGGGGTTGTGGCCCAGGAAGGAGAGATCTGCCCCAAAGCTTCAGTCAGAGCCACCCGGGAGGAGCTGGGGGGGTCTGGAGGCAGCCCAGGGGGTGACTCCTTGGTCCCTGGCAAGCAGCAGGAGCCTGGCGAAGGGTGTGTTTCGGCAAAAAGTAACAGCGACAGAAACGATGAACGTCCTGTGCGCTGTGTGGATGTCCTGTCGTTAGAGAACAGCAACGATTTCTCTGGGCAGGAAAGTCAGGAGAAAGACTGTTCAGATTCCCTTTCTTCTGTACACAATAAAAACCCAACCGAAGCAGAAGAGCAAGATCAGAGCTGTGACAACGCTGTTGTACCGGAAGGTAGCGAAAGCCTGTGCCGACAGCGAGCTGAAGACCAAACCAGCCGGGATGCCGGTGCAGCGGAGTGCAGCGAAAACTCCTCCCTGTCAGAAAGTCGCAGCGGTAGCCGCTGTCACGACCCCGCCGCGGGC